AAAAAAAATCGCCAGACTGGTAGGGCGGTGGAAAGTGGGTGCTAGACGCGGCTAAAATGGCGATTAAAAGAGGACTACATTATAATAAACAGGCTAAAATTTATGTATTGTTATAGGGTGAATCCTCAGGAGGCTATCGGCCCTATTGCGAATTTCACATGAACAAATATTGCCAACAACTATAAAGCAAAATACGATGGATTTCATCGAATTGCAACTCCCCAATTCATTTTATGAAAAAAAAATAGTTGTAGCATTTCATTTACGATGTTGTTACGTCTTTTTAACCGACTTCCAAAAAGGAGGAGGTTATCAGTTCGTCGGAATATATATATATATATATAACTTGGACCACGTCAACCGATTTCGATAATTCTTTTTGCATCAGAAAGGTAGTATCTCATAGGTGGTCCCATACTGATCTGGTTTAGATCCGATCATTGGATCATGAAATATATATAGTTTTATATGAGAATTGATGTCGGTTTTGTTTTTGCTTAAAAATTACTTGTTGCATTTCAGGTGACGATATACTTTTACCCAGGTTTTTTTCAGAAATAAAATGGGCCTTTATAGCTTTTTCGAAAAAAGTATTTTATTTTAAATTTTCCACAGATTTTACTTTAGTTGTATTAAGTAGTTTTTAAATTTTAATCCTTATTTACATTTGCCAGCAGTGTAAACTTTGAAAAGAAAAGTTCACTTGGTAGGCAAGTCTTTTTCAGGTGTATTTTTTCTTAGGCATTGTATAAAAAATGACAAAAAAAAAAGAAAAACTGTATATGGTTGTTCGAATGAATGGCCGTCCTAGTCAATTAATTGACGAAGACCTGCGTGCCAAATTAACTTTTCTTTCAAAGTTTCCACTGCTGGCAAATGTAAGTAGGGACTAAAATTTAAAAACTAATTAATATAACTAAAGTAAAATCTGTGGAAAATAAACAATAAAATACTTTTTTCGCAAAATCTATAAAGGACACTTATTTCTCAAAAAAAAAAAACGGTAACAGTTATTCTGGTAATATTAAAAATTAAAATATTTTTGTTAGTTTTTTAAAGAAATGTAGTTTAACAAAAAACCATATAAATCAAACTTTATACAGAATGTAGACAAATTTCACAAACTTATCTAAATTTTTACCTTTTTAACCGACTTCCAAAAAAGGAGGAGGTTATCAGTTCGTCGGAATCTTTATTTTTTTTTTTTTGTATGTTACCGCATAACTTTGGACCACGTCAACCGATTTCGATAATTCTTTTTGCATCAGAAAGGTAGTATCTCATAGGTGGTCCCATACTGATCTGGTTTAGATCCGATCATTGGATCATGAAATATATATAGTTTTATATGAGAATTGATGTCGGTTTTGTTTTTGCTTAAAAATTACTTGTTGCATTTCAGGTGACGATATACTTTTACCCAGGTTTTTTTCAGAAATAAAATGGTCCTTTATAGCTTTTTCGAAAAAAGTATTTTATTTTAAATTTTCCACAGATTTTACTTTAGTTGTATTAAGTAGTTTTTAAATTTTAATCCTTATTTACATTTGCCAGCAGTGTAAACTTTGAAAAGAAAAGTTCACTTGGTAGGCAAGTCTTTTTCAGGTGTATTTTTTCTTAGGCATTGTATAAAAAATGACAAAAAAAAAAGAAAAACTGTATATGGTTGTTCGAATGAATGGCCGTCCTAGTCAATTAATTGACGAAGACCTGCGTGCCAAATTAACTTTTCTTTCAAAGTTTCCACTGCTGGCAAATGTAAGTAGGGACTAAAATTTAAAAACTAATTAATATAACTAAAGTAAAATCTGTGGAAAATTAACAATAAAATACTTTTTTCGCAAAATCTATAAAGGACACTTATTTCTCAAAAAAAAAAAAAAACGGTAACAGTTATTCGTCGCCACGCTGTATAATAAAGTAGACTCATTTTTTTATTTTCTCTGCAAAAGCGGCGACAAAAATAGTAATTAATAAGTAATTTTTTACTCGTTATCGAAGTCTCCCAGCAAACACAAGCCCTGTTCGCGTACGCACTATCCAGTAAATCCAGTACTAATTTTGCTGGTTTTTTACTGGATGTCGTTTTCGTACGACGATTGTGGTACAAAGCTCAATAAAAATATTAAAAATAAAAAATGTTAACAAGCCACAATAACATTGACAAAAATATTTTAACTTGAAAAAAATTGTAAATATTAAAAACAAAACAACATCCATCCACTTTTGACCGCCACTGCTTGTCCCTATCGTTTCCTTTGCGCTAATCACCAATGTGCCGCATTCGAAGCTGGCACCGATATTTTCGAGTTCACTCCAATTCAGTGATAACAATTTTTCGTATTCGTAGCAGGCATCCGAATTCCTATATTTGCCACGCTGGATTCAGTGATATCCCTGACAAATTGACACATCCCACCGTTTATACAACACCTTATTAGATTGGACTATTAAATTGGCATGTAGTTAACACGTTTTTGTACTCCGTTGTTTTTTTTTTCAAATGAATACAAAAATTTATATTATTTATTCCTTACATTATTTTGCTTCACGACAATATACTTTTGTATGCTTATAAGTGAACACTTAGAAAAGCTATGTTAATTATAAAAAAAATAACTAAACTAATTAAACTAATCCGAGTCCGGCTCTTTAGTCTTAGGCTTCTTTTTGGAAGGTGGCGCCTCTTCTGGCTGCTCGTGATCTTGATTCTTAGTTTTCTTCTTCTTCTTCTTTTTCTTTTCTCCCCCAGCTGTACTTTCATCTTGATTTTCACTAGCTTCAAGCACTGATTCGTCTTTAACTTCAGCTGGAGTGGATTCTGAACGTTTTCGCTTTTTAATGGATATTGTGCTATCAGCCTCGGGTTCATAAGTGAATACCTCGCTGGAATAAATTTAAAATTACCATTACTGCTTAAAATATAAAGTCTTATGTTTGCAAATTATTTTATCGCACCATCAGACAGCCAAGGTTTATCGTCACTTCATGTGATCGGAAATATGCGAAACCTTTATGGTATCATCATTTAAGTGCAAAGAAACTGATTTACAAACTCGTGTGGTTTTCAAATATTACCTTTTAGCCTGATATTTTTCGAATTTGGCTTTTGCTTTTCCAGTGCCAGAAAGTCTGCGTAAATTGCCCTCCTCCAGCAATCGCAGTCGTGCCTCCAGTTTCACCTTATGTGTTGCTCCTAGTTCACAACTCGCCTCCTCTCCAAAGGCGTCAACTCGGGTAGCTAAGGAAGCCTTTGCTGCCAATGATCTCGACATTCTACCTTTATTTTTTATACTAGCCTGCCCAACCAGTTGAGCGTGGAATATTAAACCGTACTTGGGAGTATCTTTTTTAGTTTTCAGAGCACGGAAAAGCGCTTTTTCAGCGCCTAAAATCTGCACAGTGGAAGATGGGTGCTTAGCGAGATTTATAAGAGAGCCCGCATGTGCAATAAGGCGGGCACCTACTGTTTCACCAACAAGAACTGTTAGGTTAGGTGCCATTGCCATCATGCGAGTCTTCAAATAATCGTATAAATGGGTTCTATACTCATCGATGGAGAGTATCTCATCACATAGGCATTGAATATTCATGATGTCATCTTCAGATATTTCAGTTCCCATTGATATCTCAGCAGCTTCCTTTACTTTCTCTTCTACTTCTTCTGGTAAAATGTCCGAGAGATCCGATTGTGCCATATTTTCTCGAGTTCCTACTAATTTAATCGTCTTTACGAATGCAATGTTGTCTGTAATAAGCTTGCCAAGTTCCGGAAAGTGCCAGCCGTACCATTCGCGCGCTCTCATCATGTAATTGTTTAATTCTTTATCCAAATCATCTAGCAGACATTGGGCTTGCACAATCATGGTATCAATTTTGTCTGGTGAGAATTTTAATTTATATCGAGACAAAGAATGTGCCAAACCGAGCGCCATTGCTGTCATCTCTCGTTTGGGCAGACCACTCAGCAAACTGTCGGCCTGTTGACGTATGCAACGCATTAATTCTTGCACGCCAGTATTGTAGACACATGGCACAGCCAATTTATCTTTAATCGCATTGCCCAACTTGGCATCCGCGACCAGCAAAGACGATTGTACTTCGTCGCTGAAAAATTTTTTCAAAGTTTTTTTAAGAGGTTTAGACAATTTACCCTCAACGGCAGCTGTGGCTGCAGCCAATGCCTCTGTTGTGTCATTAAATTTCTCAAAATGCTTTAATTTCAACAATTTATTGGCTTTTTCCGGTGTTTGAAATTCCAAATAGAGGTTATCTACTTCTGCGAGTTTCTTTTCGTCCAGCAGCTTGAATATTGCGTAGCCCGCCGGTGTTTCATACAGCACAAACATTTCGTTTGCAATGTTATTCCATGCACAAAACAAAATTTCTTTTAAGTTAAAGCTGTTCAGATAATTGAAGCTATTTTGGCAGACAACAAAATCACTGAACTTTTCCCAACGAAAAACCAAAATGAAGGCAGAAACGACACTCGTGGAAAACACGTGTGTGCCCCATTACGACGCCAGCGAACCCTAGCGAGTTTTTTGGTAATGTATGCTTCTTCTTAACCTATACATGTCTTATTCACAATAGAATGCATTGGTCAACTTGGCGTTCAACTTCTAGCTGAATGGACTGTCACACGGTCAGTAATTATCACATTTGGATCGCGACCCATATCGAGGGATTGATGGATCGCGCACGAATGCTACATGTTCAATATTTATCGCGTCAGTATTCGCATAATCTACGTATAATTTACAGATAATGCATTCCACAATTATTATTATTTCCAATGTTCATTAAAATTTTTTCAATTTGACTTGAAAGGTTTTAAGCACTGAGAGTGAAGGCAGAGGGAATACCTTTTCGATGTTCGCATTATGAGAGTAAAGGCTGATTCACATACAACTTTCTTCGCTTTGCTTGATAGTTCTTTGCTTTGACGTATAAGATCGACGTAGGCATATGCACGAGTATGCTCACATAAAAAACGTTTGAAGCAAAGCAAAGCAAAACGAAGCAAAATCTTGGGCAACTCTCAACTTTTGCCCGCTTTGGCAATCAGCTGTCTACATTTATCTTCTCTTATGCGCTTGCATTTGCATTTAATGACAAAAATAGGGTAAATAGGAATTTTTATTGCTATTATTAATGCATATTATTATATTGCTATCTATTTTACAGATAAAAAATATGGAGGAAAAGGAGAACGCAAAAGCTGTCAAAGCGTTTATTGTAGCATACCTTCTGCGTTTCGCGCTTTGTTGTCAAAGTTTGAACTGTCAAGCAAAGCTAGGAGAGTTGTATGTAAATGGCCCTTAAAAGATGTACTGACGACATGTATGGATCGCATTTGAAAGTGCTACACGTTCAATATTTATTGACGGTATTGCGATCCGCGATCCATGAACGAAAGACACAAGATCACGTAAGAACAAGAGAGTGAAAAAAGTCGATTTTTTTTAGCGGGTTCTACGCCATCTTGTTTCACTGGAAAACAAGCGAAAAGTAAACAAAGCAAAGAAAACAACGAAAACCAAAATTAGCCAAAATTATTGTCAGCCACTTTAAACGCACAATTTACGTAAAATGATGCAACAAAACATGTTGAATTAACTCTTCTTTACTTGAATAAAAGTGTAAAATAGTGGTGCTTGTGATGTAAACAAATCGTCAGTTGACGAACCCGCTTTCGCAAACTTTTTTCTCAAAACCAGTTACAAATACAACGTCGCGTTCTTACGTGATCTTGTATTTTTGGTTCATGTCCGCGATCCAGATTTCAAAATTTTTAGAAATTTGCCAAATATGGATCACGATCCATCAATATTGTATGCTACACCGTCAATAAATATCGCAATACTTGGATCACGTCAATAAATACTGACCGTGTGACAGAGCCCAATGAGCGTTGAATTGTGCAAACGGCCCACAGTCGGACGTCCCCATGAACCAAAAATAGTGTCTTTCGTTCATGGGACGTCCCCATACAAGCTGCGGCCAAAAGTACTAACCGTACTAGAAATTCGCGAAAATTTCGCTCTTGATTTTGATTAAATACAGGGGGGCTACTCTGTAATGTGATTCGAAAGAGAAATGCGATGCGATGGGCAAATATATCTAAGTAATACGCTGTGGCGATTGCCTATCGCATCGCATTACAGAGTAGCCCCCAGAGCTAATATGCATACATTTTCTGCCTTATCCTGAGTTTCACCTGAAAAAAAATTCACTCGAAAATTTGTCATCCGCCCATAGTAAAACCATGGAAACCAAGAGTGAAAAGTGAACCGGTTCGGGGAAAATGAAACTCATGATAAGGCTGAATATGTTGGTTTTAACGAGAAGTGTAAATCTGAAATAGCGTCAAAATCGAGTTACATTATCGTCAGTAATTTTAGAAAGAGACGCAAATAAAAAAAAAATATTTTTTTGGTGATATTCGGTGTGCCCTGCTCGTTTAAGCCAAAATTTTCCAACTTGGAAGATAATAAAACAATTCTTATTACGGCGCCCACCTTCTAAACAACTTTTTTGGCTCCAAGTATTAAATGTTATGAATTTTGAAGAAAATGAACAGGCACATTTATTTTATTTCTAAAAAAGTTCCTATTTCATCATCTAAAAAATTACAAACCTGCATACTAAATTATGTGCACGATATGTATTTACACTGAAACTTTCAATTTTATCTACATTTTATACAACAAACGCTGAGCTAAGGCAAGCAAGACTCTTGCCATCGAAAACGGATCCTGTCCAGAGAAGCGTCCATTTTTGGCTGAATGTTGAATGTGATTGCATATTATTTATTTTATGTACATATACAATAAAAATTCAACAAACTTTACAGGAGGTGGGTCTATAAAAGGAAGAATAGAAGCTGAACTCGCAGTTCTTCGCAGCTGGAACTATTTGAGATATGACCCGCATATTTAATGTTTACTTGTCCTAAGTATAATTTACCTCGCTTAACAGGTCCTTTTTAAAGTAAGCACAGGAAAAATTTTATACTCACATAATTATGTAGAATTTCAAGGTAAACTGTTTTATACATTTCAAAAGATTTAAAAAACTTGAAGCAATGCTTGACCACAAATATATTCAAAAACTGCTCATCAGTCAGATTTAATTTTTATATATCCGCACAATTGGAAAATTAATTCAAATTACTTGCGACAAAATTAAAATTTTTTCTTACAAACATATTTTTTTGTATTGTTCCTATTTTAAGCTCGTGTCTTGATTGCAAATATGCATTTTTATCAAAAATTCTTTTTGGTTTGGGTTAGCTGGATATTTTTCTATGCATCTGTGTAATTACTCTTTCCGAATTCGCTATTCCGTTTTTGCTACTTTTGGCCGCTGTAGTCCCATTGTGCGGACTTTTCAACAAATCGCTTTCAATGAAGTTGGTCGACAGCCGACTTTCGTTGAACTTTTGACTTAACTAATCGTCTGTGTAAGATGAACTATGCAAATACGCTTCTTCAAAGAAGTTTATCGGCAGCCAACTTTAGCTCAACTTTTAATTTAACTAATCGTCTGTTAAGCTGAAGCTCCATAACAGGTTTTTCAGGCGTTGCGGCTTTCGAAGTTGCAAAGGCTTTCAAGGTCGTTTAGGCTTTACAGGCATTCCAGGCGAGCAACTTCACAATAAACTGGCTGAGTCCCAAGTTTGGTTATTGCAAAGCATCAGCCTCTTTTATTTCTAAACTATGACTGATTGACTGACTGACCAATTAGCGCAACAAGTTCCAATTCGGCATTTGAACATGGTTGCGCATACTGGACATTTCCATCAGTTATAGTTTAGAAATAAAAGAGGCTGATGCTTTGCAATATACCAACTTGGAACTCAGCCACTTTTTGCGGTTGACGTTTCTTCAAACCTTTATCATTTCCTAGTAAATGGGGAGAATGATCTAGGAATGAGTTTTCCGACAAATGAGACAACGACTTAAAAATTCTAGTTCGATAAAAGTGATAGTTTTTTTACCATTTCATTTTAATTTATTCAGTACTTTTGTTCCCTTCTTTTCTATTAATGTTCAAGCAAAAAATATTTTTTCCTTGCATTTTATTGTCTAAATTTTGTGTAAAATTCCTTTAAAATGTAAGTGTTCTCGATTACACCATTGCGATAATCATATTCACCAGTACTATTGTTAGAATGAATAACTGTCAGACGACGCCTGAAAAGCCTGAAACAAGTTCGAAATTTGGCATACATATTTCAGGCTTGTCGGGCATTTCAGACTTTGGTTATGCAGCAGCTTCTATACAATTGCACTAAATCAGCTTTAAGCTGAAGCTCCATAGCAGGTATTTAAGTCGTTGCGGCTGGAGGCGCTCAAGCCTGAAATGTGATTTAGGCCGTGGTTACGCCACCAATTTCGATTGGCAATCACCGTGCAATTGTTGTTGTGCATAGCATGGAGTGAGAGAATTTTCGAAATCGAACAGCCAGCACGATTTGCTGGGTGAACCGCATAGCATAGCACGCCAATTTTTCGGGGTGGCAATACGCTATTTTGCGAAAAAGCATTGAATATTAGAATAGTAAAAAATATTCTTTTATTATTATTATAAAGTAGATATTAAAAAATATATATAAAATTTAAATATTAAAGAAAGAAAAAATATTAAGTTGTTGATGCATTTTTACATCAGTGCTGCCATTGTGTGCGAAATTGTATGAAATGGAAAAGGCATTTCTTAAGAAACAACCCTGTGCTCGCCAATCAGCAAACAGAGCGTAACCACTTTTCACCATTCACCGAAATTTTTCTCTTTTGATTGCCAATTAAAATTGGTGGCATAACCACGGCCTTACCGAGGAACACATTTGTGGTCCTAAGTGGGCGGCGCCACGCCCATTATTATTGAGTGCTCCAAGTTTGGTAGAAATTAATGAATGGGTTACCTAAGTATACATTTGTGGTCATAAGTGGGCGACTCCACGCCCATTATCCAAAAATGTATAATAATAGGTTTGTATAGTAACAAATAGTCAGTACTAATTTGTACTGGAAAATTTGTACTGCAAATTTTCACTGGAAAAGTGTATAATAACCCAAAAAAATTGCAGGAGAGCCCTGCTGAATCGAGAGCATAATAACACGGGAGAGCTGCACATTCTTGCTAGTGAAATTTTTACTATCAGAAATTAGAAAAAGAAGAATGAATGTCAAAAGCGGCCATTTGTTGAATTGGTTAAGCGTAAACAAAAGTAAAATGAGTGAAAATCAAAATATTAATGATGTACTGGACTGTTTAAGTGTTTGTGTGTAAAGCATAGAGTTTAAAACTGATTTATAAATAGTAAAATGCAGAATGTCAAAACAGTGCATCAACTATTTTCTTGCAAGTTTTTACTAGTTTTGTGTTCAATAATTTTTCTGCTAGTTTTCTCTTCTTCTCAATTTTACTGTCTATTTCGCTTTTACGCTCTCGCTGCAATCTTTTACTGGAGAAGTTACTATACAAACCTAATCTAATTTTCTGCTACGCGGTTATTCTAAACATTGATTTTAAGTCAAGTACCTTCAGT